CTTCCACAGTCCCACCCCGTAAGGTCTCCTCATCTTACTCCTTGACCCGACCTCCCTCCGAACCCCCCATCTAGCCTCTACCACCCTTCTCCAAAGGAAACCCTCCTCATACCAAAATCTCCAAAGCCATTTACTTATGAGTGCCATGTTCATCTCTACAATAGACCTCACCCCTAAACCCCCTTCCTCAAAGGTCAACTTAACATTCCTCCATTGCACCAAATGATATTTCCTTTTACTCTCACCATCACCCCATAAGAACCAACATTGAATAGATTCAAGCCTCTTTGCCACCTTTGCAGGCACTGTTAGGATAGACAAGTAATACATAGGAAGGTTGGAAAGGGTACTTCTGATAAGTGTAAGCCTGCCCCCTTTTGACAGCAAGCTTCTTTTCCAGCCCGCCAATCTATTCTCAAACAAAGAGATCACTGGATCCCAGATGCTCCCATCCTTGTGTTTAACTCCCAAGGGAATGCCAAGATATTTTATGGGCAGCTTAGCCATTTTGTACCGCAATACCTCAGCCAGTCTGCCGCCATCCGAACTGTCCCAAAAATCACCATCTTATATTTAGATAAGTTTATATTTAGCCTACAGACAACCTGAAAATGTAATAAAACACATCTCAGTTCAACATCATATCCGCATCCGATTGACTGAAAATCAGGTTATCATCTGCAAAGAACAAATGTGAAATTTCAATCTGCTTGCCCGCCCTCCCAATTTGTATACCTCTCACCAAACCCACCTCTTTGGCCCTTTCAATCAACTTATGCAAAGCCTCCATAACAACAAGAAACAATAAAGGGGACAAAGAATCACCTTGTCTCAACCTCCTGGAGGACTTGAAGAACAACGAAGAGCCCCCCGTTAACCATATCTGCGAAGGTGGGCGAAGGAACACATGCCATGTATTAATTATAAAGCTAGATTTCTCATAAACCATGTTGTATAAAGCTAGATTGGGATGCTGGATAAATTAGTTATAATCTAATCTGCCTACCTAAAAAAGAAGGGTTGAACTGTCACACCCAAGGTTTTGAGACATTGTACAAAATAATATGGGTTTCAGGGGATGATGGATTCTTGGTTGGAGCATAACTAGGCATCACATTCAGAATCCTTTAAGCATCAAAACTGAAGTGAGATTTGGTTGCATCACCCAATAATAAAGCATAACTACTAAAAAAATAATCTGAATGGCGCTCTTTGGTATAGATGTAGTTGCAATGAATTTAGACAACCCAAATACATAAGGTTGGTACATAAATTTATAGAACTCTTCAGGATGCTTACGAGATTAATACTGGTTGTGCTGAATTGCTGATCAATGTCTCGAGAAATCTGCAGGATTGAGAACTCTTCGAGTTTGAAAATTTGTTACTGTTACTGGTTGCTCAACAGGTGTCTGCTGGGGATGACAGGGTGCTGTGGAAGTTGGATAAAAGTGGTGTCTTTTCAGTCAAATCTTATTACAAGCACTTAACTAACAAAAACAACGTGATAAGTTTTGATTTTCCCTCTTGGCAGTTCTGGAAGGCGAAAGTTCCCCTTAGAATTGCTTTTGTTTTTGCATGGGAAGCAAGTAGAGAATGCATCTTGACAATTGATAAACTTAAAACTAGGGGTTGGTCATTCCAAACCAGTGCTATTTGTGTATGGCTAATGAGGAAAGCTGTGTGCATGTTCTGTTGCGGTGTCCTGTGGTCTCTGGATTGTGGAATGCTATTTTTAGTGTGATTAGTGTTAACCGGGTGATGGCTGGATATATTAGGGAGGAATTGTGGGCTTGGGATGGGATGCATGTTGAGAGGAAGTTGAAAAATCTAATTCCTTTATCTTTGTTTTGGATTCTTTGGAATGAGAGAAATTGTCGAGCTTTTAAGGATAAAGCTAATGATTTGTATACTTTGAGAGATAAGTGATTGCATTATTTTGAGTTTTTATTGTTAGGGCACGACATGATTAGTGATGTGGATTTTGAGCATGTCATTGATTCACTAACAACATTGTAAAACTTTTGTATAGGGTGGTACCTCCGATTGTTTGGTACCATGTTAATATAATTTCATACTTTTTATTTTTTAAAAAAATTTATAGAGCTCTTAAACGGTGTATCCATGTGCTGCCTTACAATAAAACACAGTCTCTTATTTCCATTACAATAATAAACTCCAGTGTACACCCGTATGATAGATACAAGAAAATTGCTTGAATATACTAAAATAAAATCTGCTCTTTCCAAATGTCTAATGTATATGCAAAAGCGAAGTAAGTAAACCACTTCTGTGTCATATTGTTTTTCATGAATAACCCCAAGGGCAAACAAAATTCAAAAGTAAAAGAAAGTGCTGTTAATTCTTCCTTTAGAAATGATTTTGCCCCTCTTATTCTTCTTTTTCATTTACTAGTGAAGAATATAAAAATTTAAAAATCGGGTTGAATCCTAATCCTGCAGTTCACAGTAGTATTAAACTTCTGCAATACCTTGATGAAAGTTTTCAATCGAAAATATTCTTATGGATTTGATCATTAATACATGTTTTCAGCCACTGATGCTCATAGTCCCTGATGTGCAAGATGTTTATACACCGCTTGAGACAGATGTTGTTGTTCAGCTTTCCGAGGTTCACTCTAGACAATTTTGTTTTCACCTTTCCCTTTTCATATGCTTTTTGCCCAGGGTTTCTGTAGTTAATGACTTGTCCATTTTTTTTTCCATAAAAATCTCAAATGCTTTTTGGTAACTCTTTTGGTTTCTTTTTTGAATTTAGTGTCGTCAACATTTAGAGCTCTTGCTGGAAAGCATCCCATCCATGTTTCAGAATAGTAAAACTGCGGAATCAGCTTTTGGTGCAGCAATTAAGGTATATGGTTCCATGGTGTATGACTTGCAACATTGTAAGAGCTTTGATTATGTTAGAAGTGTTTTGGATATGACCATGCTTGCTATACCATGAAGAGGCTGAGTTTTAGCATTGAATGATATGAATACGTGTATATACCTATTTTCTATCAAGAGAACAAGTACTTGGCCCTCTATGGGGTTTAATTTTGGCATTGAATATATTGACTCGTGAAAAGGATCCAATATTATTTCCCTTGAGCATTTACTACATTTACTACATTTCCAATGTAGAAATAGTTACATGGAAAAATTAGACTTTTGATCTAACCTGTGAATGAAGTATGAAATTGAAAGGAATTAGATCCTTGGCTTCTTCGGGGTGTGGAATTGCTGGGGTTGAGTTTTTCTTTTAGAAAAGATTAGGTTGGTGACATTTGGATCTTCAATGTACTGTATATAGTGGATAGTTTTTGCTTTTCATAGTATGCATTTCTTTTAACAATTCTCTTTATATTTCAGGCTGCTTACCTGGCAATGAAGAGTACTGGAGGAAAGCTTATGGTATTTCAGTCAGGTAGCTTCCAGAACTGTTAGGCGTATTCTACCTTCAAACTTGTTATTTGTTTCAGAAGTCCATTTATTATGCATTATCATGCTTGCTAGTATGCATACCCTTATATGTTGTTTTGTAGCTTGCATGACATTGCAGACTATCTAATGTCTCTAAAATGCAATTAATCTGAGTCATGAATTAATTAAAAAAGCCTTGGCATCATTGCTTCCCAAATAAGTGGATTCCTGAATTTATTTGCAATCTTAAACCAACTGTAATAGCTCATTCTCACCTCTTTTCAATTCTTTACACCAAAGTACTGAAATTTAATGACAGTTAGTTTCACTTGGCTAAGTAATTTTTACAAAGGAGTTCCTTTTAAAAACAATAACAAGTGTTTACAGAATAGTTTTTAAAAACTTTGAGGGGGGTTAGTCTTTCTATGCTACAGATGGGTAGGGTTGCAATTGAGCCTTTTATTTTTTTATATCTTTTTTTGGTTTGTTTTTTAGTTTTCTGGAGGACAATTTATCCTCCAGTATGTTGTATTTCCCTTTACTTCTATTATATCACTTTGTTATAAAAAAATCATTTGGTTGAATGATAATTTGATACGAAAAATCAAATTGGTTGAGGACTAGTTGAATAAGAAAGAGATTTTTGTATAATTTTCAGGATTTAAATGAGCATTTCCAATATAAAAAAGAACACACTTTTCAGTATCCAAGAGTATTCATACGTTAAGTAAATAAAATTTGGCTCCTAGTGGTTTAGTTCTTTCTATAAGTGAGACATTGTAGTTTTGTTAGCATTCCACTACCTTGATGTTTCTCTTGCAGTCATTTTTTTTGAAATATTTCTCTTGTGGTATTATGATTAACATTGCTGTGTAAAAATCAAGAGGTTGGTGAGTATTACAAAAAAATTGACTTTAGAAGAGGCCAAACCATAAGATGAAATGTAACTTTCTAGAAATTTTTTCTTTTTGAGATAAAGATGTTAGTCTGTCAGATAACTGTGCGATCACCCCAGTCAGTTCTCTGGGCAGGGAATGATCCTCTACTGCCATGGTAATCCACAATAGAACTACCTGGCAACCACTCACACTCTAGCCACATAGTCTATGACTATGACATTGTTGGACAAAAAATTAAAATTGTTGGACTATGGCTAATGGAGAAACCTCATGCTAGCGGAATATTAAGAAAAGAAAATCATAGGGTTTGATTTTGAATAAGTAAACAGTTCCTTAAAAAAATTAGCATGGAGGAATAACCCTTAGTTATTAGTGTATGTGAACTTTTTTACTGCATTGTGGTGATGGAGTTGAATGCTAGGTGCATAAAAATCTAATTGATGTGTGACTGTGGATGCAATTGTTTGTAGATTTTGTGATTAATAAATATGGATTTATGTTGTAATAAGCAGTCAAGATGAAAAGAAATCGAGTAATTACTTGGTCCAGGATAATGTCAAATGAGAGTGCATTTCAAAACAGATATAGACCTTTCAATTACTTTTTGGCTTATTTGGACGGAGTGTGCGTAAGGTTTTGATGATATCGAGGGTGATATGAAAAGAATTAGGGATAGATGGTTGCACCTTCTTGGGTCGATTGTGTTAGGTCATAACATGTACAGGTGGAAGGATTTTGGGAATCTCATTGATACAATTACTTAATTGTAAATAATTTTGTACATAAAGGTCGCAACCCTTTGGTGCCTATTAATATACTGCTTACACTTTTTCTGTAAAAAAAAGACCTTTCAATTATTTGAACTCCAGTATTTCCTTTTGAATATTACAACTGACCAAACCATGTTCTGTGCAGTATTACCATCAGTTGGTATTGGGGCACTTTCTGCTAGAGAGGCTGAAGGAAGAACTAACATCTCCGCTGGCGAAAAGGTATACTCTCCCTTTTAGAAAATTATTTGTTCCTCTGGACATCTGTTTATGGGAGTTATATTGCTGTTGTGCTGTTGCTTTGCCTGTGTAGATGGTTATTTGTTTATATTAGGTGGGGTTCCCTCATATATGCAGTTTGAGCTAGTGGACCTTCAAATTCTGTTTTAATAATGAAATATATGTCATCCCAAAGTCCTTCTCTATCTGATTAGTATGAAGATGAGATTTCTTTCTTATTGTGTTGGGGTCCTCAAATCTACTTGTAACTGTTTTATGCCAATGAAATATATGGAGAAAACAGGGGATTGTGCAATTACATGCTGGTTCTGTTCCATAATTTTAAATTAAAGTAATGAGCTTTACTGGATCTGTTCTGTAGTTTCATGAATGCACTAAGCCTGGTATATATATCTCGGGTTCAAGTTAATCATTTATGGTGCTAGACCATGATGTGATTATCTTAAATGTTATTTTTAATAAATACTATTTTACCATAGGATGTGTGTCCATAGGATGTGTGTAATCTCGGAGGTGTTTATGCACCTGAATTGATTTAGTGGTTGCTGTAATTTTATCACACTGCAATATGTAAAATATACTTCCAATATCATTATAAATCTAATACACTTCCACCAGAACTATAGTCCCTGTAGCTTCTTAGACAGAGCAGTAGGTACTTTCAAGAGCGTAGTTTACAACTTGCAGTGAAGGGACTCCAACGCTGTTAAGCACGAGGGCAACTCAGAGGGGGTAATTA